TTCTCATTTAAATTGGTGTGGTAATATCAATTTAAAAAAAAAAAAAAAGAAAAGCTAGTGCTACTGTTTGCACAGCGTTTGTAAAGAGAATGGGAGGAGAGGTGCTGGATGGCGTGGAGCGTTAGGTAAATACAGCTTACAATGCAGTCACTGGAATGTGCTGGCAAAGCCTGTAGAGCACATCAGCGCAGGCAACCATTTTCAGATGTCCGTGCAGTTCTCGAGTTAATATAGCTGCCACATACATATCACACTTCTTTATATTCCTTTGGAAAATGTCTCAAATAACACACATGATTCAGAAATTTCTAGAAACTACATTCAGACGTACAGCTCTTAAAATCTGTCTGTGGTCAGCACGTGTGCTCTTGAACACAGAAAACATGTCAACCTCAGCAGCAGTAAGAGGTGTAACTTAATCAAACCTGCTTACATGGTTCAAGGTTGGTTCAGGTTAAAGGGGTGAGGACAATTTTAACAAGGCTGAAGAAGAGTTGCATTGTTTCATTTTTTCCATCTAAAAAATAATCAAAAAACAATTATAAACCAAACGGTGGCTCTAAAACCAAGGTGTGAACAGTCGATAGAAAATATTGATGGATCCCCTCCAAGATGATGTTTTCCCAAAGTACAAACCTTATGAGTGTTTATAACACTCATAATTCCTTTGCCTCTAAGCATAAATGACAATGAACAATACAAAACCTAACAGCCTCAGTGTACGCTGGTAAGCAATCAGAATTGCCTATTCTCAGTCTCTGATACAGCACAACCTGTTTTATGACTCAGCAGTCCAGTCTATTCTAGTATGCAGCTACATTTTAAAGCATTAAGACTCCAGTGTAGAGCTAGCCCTGCAGCTAAGATACTAAATAAAAAGGAAAAAGCTCCAAGAGATCACTGAAGTGTTTGTCTTCTCACCCTCCCTGAGGACTGATCCCGCTTGCGAGACTTGGTCTGACTCAGTGTGTCCTGATATTCTTGGGCCAGAGGTTCCTGTGTGTTCCTCAGCATTGCGTTAGGATTGTTCAGGGCTCCCATTGTGACAGATGCTTGACCTCTATCAACCGCTTCATTGATGGCAATCACAGCAGCATGTACTAAGGAAAACAAAACAAAACATGGATTTAGTGGAGGATATCACATATCAGATCAGATAACTCAGTTTACTTCAGTCAAAAACAACTGAGTGGTTAAAAGATCACAAGGTTAAAAGATCACTCACAGGCAGCTTCATCAATCGACAGCTCATTGGCCAGGATACCTCCAATTTTACTGAAAGCTGGCATCTGAATGCCATACTTTTCCAGTTCACTCCTCATGTTACTGATCTCTTCCTCTGTAAAACACATATATTACTGACATGAGAAACAACTGCGACACGGCACATTGGAATAAAAAAATAAAATAAACAAATAAAAACAACAAAAACAAAACATACAGTTGGGACAAATTTCTAACCAGTATAACTGTTAAATGGGGCATCAGAACACTAACAATGACTTAAAATCAATCTGCCAAAACCCTAAAATAAATATTTCATAACGTTCAAAAAACTAGTTAAAAATGATCAAGTGATATTAGAACAACAGACCCCTCACACCACACATGAGGAGAGTAAATGTCCTTTGTTAGAGGAAAATTAAGATGAAGACATGTTGCTCTTAGAGCACCATGACAGTTGCTTGCAGGAGAACATGGGTACACACGAGGTGCCATCAAAAGGTTCAGGGCCTTGCCCCATAAAAAGCTAATAGCTCCCCCACTTTTTAAATCCAATTTCCCCTTCAAGGTCATCGTCCTGCTTTTAGGGCAGCTGCAATTTATAAATTGTTCCATTTATGGTCCCATTACTTGAGTGGATGATCATCACTAGTGATAAGAGCCTGATCTCTGGTAATGAACCATTGGTCATAAAATTCTGCTATAACATGAAGAACACATGGGAACCGTGTTGTGTTGTACCATCACGTGAGGACTAACAAGCAAAGTGATGCTGGACTAATAATATGAATGTAGTATGAATGAGATTGTGCGTTATAAGGTTTGTGCTATGTTTCACTTTCAGGTAATTTATATGGTAGATGGTTACCTGTGAAGTCCACTTTCCCTAGAAGGTCTTGAATCTGTGGTGCAATTCCCAGTTTGTACAAGTACAAGCTGGAAAAAAAAAAAAAAGACACAAACACATACGATGTAAGAGTTGTGCAAAAAAGAAGCGATACAAAACACTGTAGATCATACCATGAAAATAAAACTATTTATTTTTTCGATCAAGATCGCTTCGGTATCGTCTTCTCTGCAGTGTCACACTTACACCACAAGGGGGTAGCACTGTCTCAAATTACAATAAGCACTGTGACAACACTAAGCAGACTCCGTGCACTACCTAGCAGATAAATTTAACAAGGAGGTGACTGGAAACTTCATAAAACTTTCATCTTCCGGCAGGTACTGGGTAACTGGCAATGAATTATAGATACTTAAATGGTAAATGCCTGCATTTGTATAGTGCTTTTCTAGTCCCTAAGGACCCCAAAGCGCTTCACACTACATTCAGTCATTCACCCATTCACACACACATTCACACACTGGCGATGGCAAGCTACATTGTAGCCACAGCTGCCCTGGGGCGCACTGACAGAGGCGAGGGAGGTCTGGCATCAGTACAGCTCTGAATAAAGGAGTTGTAGTAGCTAGTGGTTGTTCTGCCCTTTGGTCCCAGCATGTGTAAACATAAGATGCACTCTGTCCTTGGCACAGAGAGGTTTGAAAGAGACCATCTAAAAAATCTGCTTTTACAAAGGGTAATTTTCCAACATGCAGGCAGCTGATTTGGTCTGGGATACAAACACAACAACAGCTGACTGGGGTTAATGAAGGTGGCTGATTACCAGCTACAGGGGTTAAAGACGATCAGCTGACTAGCTTGGTGGATTCCCTTTTTTTTTTTTCCAAATCTCTACCACTCTAAGATTTAAAACATCTACTTATGAGGTCAGCATTGTACCTAAGGAGGAATAACATTCAATGGGAACTTGTGGGACTTGAACTGGATTTGCAGGGAGGAAGAGCACGTGTGTGCATAAGGGGAGGAAGGAAACCAATTCTCAAAGGACCTCACCAAAACACTACAACAGAGAAAACAAGGCAGGCAGCTCCCATAACCACTCCCCAAATGTGTGCTTAGCTGACTGGATGGTTTAGAAAGTCAAAGTCATTTAGACTAAGTAAGCAAGGGCCTACAGCGACGCACAAGCCACGGAAAAAGACCACCAACCTTTCACAGGAAAGCAAACGTAAAGTTAAACACTGAAACTACAACTAATAGTATAGAGTGAATATAGCTGTCTATAGCTCAATAACAGAGTCTGGATAATATATACAGCATGGCACATCTAAAGTAACACACAGAACCTCCTTGTGCTACTAAAGTAGAAACCATGTTTTCCAGTTTCTGTTTCATATCATTTACTAAGTACCACTTCTGCTTTTGATGTATAGATTGGAGGTTAAGCTTCATGGACACACTGTACAAATGTGGTCAGAAGTTTCCGTGCGCTCACCGTGGTCATGAATATCATGGTATTTGTGGGATTTGAATGATTTCTTTAATGAGCCTTTTGAACTGTTCTTTTTCCAGGGGGAATGATTGCACAGCATACATCTTAATTAAATTTAGAAAACAACCACGTCAACAAGTTTGAAATTATTTTGGATTTTCTCTAAAAGAAGATTAAGTAAATACAAATATTTACATACATCCATACATACAGCCCCACTAGTATTTGATTAAATGCCCTTTGGCAAGTTGCACAATGACCAGATACTTTTGGTAGCCATCAACAAGCTTCTGGCATGAGTCTGGCTGGATATTTGACCAGTCTTCTTAGCAGAACTCACCAAATTCATTTTTAACTGGTTGGATTTCTGGCATGAACCTGGCTTTCAAGTGTAGTCCACAAATTTTCAATCAGGTTGAGCTTGGGTCTTTGGGAAGACCATTCCAGAGGTTTAACGCCTGCTTTACCCATTCTAAAACACTGTCCTCTTGGATCATCAGTTGTGTCCAATATTCAAGTTTCAGTAAAGCTTAAATGTGTTGATTTTCTCAGCCCATGGTCATGCAACTTCACTGTGAACAGGTGATACTGTTGTTCCAGCATTTTCCAGTTCTTGGCAGGCTTGAGCCTTGGTGGTTTCTGGGCTTTCACCAATTTTCTTTCATCTGACGGTGACAGTTTGGGTCTTCTTCTAAATATTGGCAAATCAGTTACACATCAAAATAACTTGTACTCGCATACAGTTGTTTAAACTGGTGATCTTAGAAACTGCAGTTGTTTAGAAATGGCTCCAAGAGACCTTACCAACCTGTGTCAATCTACAGTTTTCCTTCTTTGATCTTCATCAAGTTCCTTGGACTTTCCCATTGTTCTTAGCATTGGTTAATCCAGTGAGTGCTGACAGACAAATTATTTTATGCTACCAGTTGAATAAAGCATGACCATGAAGTTAATAGGCCTTGGCTTTGTCAAGTTAGAAGAAACTGAACCTTCAGCACTACTTATTACAACAGATAGGTGAATATGTTTACACATTTGAGTGTATGCATTTCTGACCTGGCATGGATTAGAGAATATCCTAAAACAATTCAAACTTGTGCAACAGTTTTATATTTTTCTTAAAGTCATTAAAAATGTATTCTGTACAATCATTCCACCCTGGGAGAAAAAAACAAACAAACAAAAACAACAGTTTAAGGGAATCAAGAGCCTAAAATGATCATGATATTCATTCCCATCATGATGATGTGTAAACATCTGACCACAAGCATAGTAGTTTTATGAGCTGTCGATAAATTCTGTCTGTAGATACAAAATAAGCATTTCATTTCCAATTCAAACCAAAATGTTTGGTTTAGTCCAACACAACCCAATCCAAATTAAATAAATAAATAAATGTTAGCGAAAACAGTATGTACTAGTCCATATAATCTACAGCTGCGCTGTATACATTGTATGGACTTGGCACAATGACATCACCTATAATCTTGTGTGGAAGCCTTGAGCTGTGCACTTCTGACCTTCGCTATTGCATGCTAGGAGAGTGGCTTGTTAGTTACATGGTTGTCCCAACCTAATCCATTCCCTGCTTTATTCTCCTTTTAACTCAAAGTAAACATGATGTTGTTTTCGTTAGTTCATCAAGACACCACGGAAAGAGGTCATGGATCAACTGAGCATTTGACTTATATCGAGGTTTTGCAGAAATGTGACTACTAACCATGTGACATTAACTTCTCTGCCATTTTGGACATGTGACAAGCGTGGTGACAATGTTGGATCATCCATGACCATCTGGCAACCACTGGTCATAAGGGAAAAATTCCCAACACTGGTTGGGAGTGGTTGTTGGAGGTTGATAGCAGTCGATGAAGAAAAAAAAAAAAAAAAAAAAAAAAAAAAA